ACGAGTGAAGCTACCGGAATAACGATGAATCGATTGCAGTTCCCAAGCACTTTCTTCAAATTGGTTTAGTTTAAAGATTATTGGGAACGGCAGACGGGATATTGATTTCAATAAATCTTTTATACGCGCGACGGGGAATAGATGGGCCGTTGTTTCCTTTTTTTTTAATAAGCTCGTTTGCCCTTACGCTGTATCTTCTTCTTTTTTTTTATGGATTGTAAAAAATTGATGGAGTTCATCAAATTTTGTTACTCGGAGGGAATCCCAATCTTCCATCGATAACGTGGTTTTAGATCGAAACTTTAAAGCTTTTGCAGTATGTTCCTAGAGAACTTTTAATTTTTGAACTTGCAAGTAGCACGGATTACACGATTTTGGCCACGGTGCTTTTCAATCTAAAATCTGAAATTCAATATTCTCACTTTTTATTAATTAGTAAATATGCTTGGTATCAGAATAAATATCGATATTCTTAAAATTTTTTTCTATTTAATTGGCAAGAGTTAAAATTATATTTTTTATTATTTTATTATCGACACGGATCAAAAATATCACAGCGAAACAAAATTTATAAAAAGTATTGAGCAGAATTTTATGCAAAAGAAGGATATTTTGCATATCTATCTTTTAGTTGAAAATAGATTTATTCGCAAGTGTAAATAACTCATCAAACTGTACGAATTTATTAATAACGTTTCTACTGCTATTTTTTTAAATATGTGTAACGAAAACTATATGAGATTTAAATATTAAGAGTCTCTATAAAGTCGATAACTAAGCGAGACGACAGACTGGAATCAACCATTACATTTACATATAATCATGCATCTAACAAAGAATTTCAGCATGAGAAACGGAGATATAGAAGGCTTATAAAGTACTTTTTATAAAATTCAATATTTTTTAACGAAAATTATATCACATATAAACATTGAATTCTCTCTTTAACATATAACTTTGCTAACTTACAAGTATTGCAACAAAGATACACACATGTATTATAAATCATATTTATTAATCAAATTATTAATTAATCTTATAAAATTATACTTTTTAATGAAATTTAGAGTTAGTATAAATAAATGAAATTGAAATGTTTTATTTCTTTTCATAAATAACTTTTTTAATGACTTTTAGTCAATTAATATAAATTAAAAATATGAAATTTCAATCTTGTTTATATTATTGTCAATTCTGTAATCAATATTATAATGTTAAATTACATTATGTAAAATGCATGATTTAAAAAATTGCCAGTTAATTAAATATATTATAAAAAAGTACTCATTGAGCCAACTCTAAAGAAAAAAAATCAACTCAAATATATCTACCTAACAAATTAAAGCTGATTACGCTTCCGGTAAATTATAAATCAATCTCCCCGCCATTTCAAGTAATTTCAAAGTATGTTGAGATTATTAGATCAATCACGGCGAGATGATTACTCTGGATTATAGAAGCTCGGAGAACCAAAAGAGGGATGTTGATTATAAATTAATAAAAGATCCGCGTACGCCTAAAAGTGGCACTGTAATGTCAGCTAAAAGCACAACATATTTCGTTTTTGTAATTTTTGGAGGGAACTTCATCTTCACATTGATATTTCGATTTTCGTTTAAGACGATTTTAATTTCATATTATACAATTTTCGGAGGGACTTGTTTTCAATTTTCGATATTTACTAAGCTTTATTGTAGAAGAATCGTCGATAACTATATTAACGAAAGTAGGTTTTTATTAATATTTTATTTTTCTTCTTTTGGATTATTTAGCACGTGAAGAAACAACTTATTCTAGCAATTTCCTAACTTCACTCTATGTAGGTGCTGCAAGTATCTGGGATAGAACTACATCTACTAAGCAAAGTTAGATTCCTTAACCAGTGCCGTGAGGCTTTTCGGCCCTTTAATAGCAACAAATTAACGCTGCTCCCCGTTTTATTGCATGAGAATGCAAATCAAATACAGCGGAATTAAACGTGTCTTATTCGAGGTCATATAAACTGATAATTGCAGTATCAAATTTATCTAAATTTTCAATAATAACTGTTCGACGGAAATGCAAATAAAAGCACCGACACTGTGTGTGTGTGTGTGTGTGTGCGTGTACGCGCGCGGGTGTGTGTATATGTGTGTGCCAAAAGCAGTGAAAATTTTCTGAAAACGAAGATTATAGACGACTATAGAGCGTCTATGCTGCACGTATGCGCTTGGCGGGCAACAGCAATATGGTCAGGCGGTTGCTGGTGGTTCGGTTAATGCAATATAGCGTAGCGCATCCTCGAGGTGCGTTGGCTGAGTGCACTGAGGCTGACGTAGTCGCAAATGGACGTATAACCTCTCTCTCTCGCGCACCACCGCCACGCTCATAAAACGCGATCGCCGATGCATTAGTTGCCTCTCACTGTACGCGGAACCCTACCGTCACACTACGGCTTGTCGCTCACATTTAAGCTTTCATTAACCCTTTACACGCGCCGCCCCAACTTTTTATCGCCCTATTTTTCTCGCCGACTTTTTTCGTTATTTTTTTTTTGTTGATATCGTAATATGCGGCTGTTGTAGGCGTTTATGGCTGGACGTTGTTGCTTATTAACGAATATTTTTTTACGCTCGTGGTAATAACGGTTATTACAATTACGTGTCGATCGTTAACTTTTAATTGTCTTTTTGCTTACTGTGGTGTGTGTGTATGTATATATGTCTTCGGTATTACGTGCTTTATATTTCAAGAGATTTCGTGATTTACTTGCGAGTAAACATGAAGTCATAAACGTTTAACATTAATGAGTGAAGTCATTACAGGAGCTCACTCCAACTCTGACTTTCAGAGCTTTTCAAATTGAGTTGGAAAGTGCTATTTAATATTAATAACTGAGTTACAGTGCAATTTTTCATGCACCAAATGCATGTTAATTTACAAAAAATATTAAGCTTTATGCTTATGAAATTGAAGTTTTCATTACAAGCGAATAATATTACATTACTCCAACAGCTCTCATAACTTTTAATTATACGCCAAAAACTTTCAGCAAGAATTTGAAAAAAAATTTTCTACCAGATTTTTAAAATATTGAATTTTTCAGAATGCAATATCCTCCCACGAGTTAAAAGCTCACTTTCTTCTTGCCTTTCTACTTATACACGTACGCTAAGCAGCGTCAATTTTTTCGAGCACAAAACTGTGTCTCTCATTCCTTGAAATTTCCATTTCTCTTTCGTAAAACCACGTATCCAAAAGGACAAATGTGATGAAAAGATCCCGCGTCTACGTATATTTGAATAAAGCAACTCTTCATAGTCTCGATAAAAAATATATCTTTATAATAATTTTCTACTTGCCGTAAATCCAGACAATACACACGATAGTGCATTTTTGCGCATTTTTATCTTTAAAAGCACTTAAATACTCGGGCACATGGCGGTTGTAGTATAAGAGGAAAGAACCTTCTCAAGAGCTTACGTACGAGATATAACGTTGCACATGCGCTCATCATCTTCCTATCGTTTTTTTACCAAAAAGAAGTTGTATCTACCTGCCGTCCCTTTATTGTTATTTTAGTCTATCCGGACTAGTAAGCTGTACATTTTTTCACTTGCTCTCTCTCGCTCTCTGCACGCGGATGCTCGTGCGAATGAGATTTCTCCGGTCTAGTATCTTTCGTTTCGCGCGTTACTCTTCTCATTATAGTGCACGGAATATTACTGGGATCTAAGTGAGATCGTCAATCGGATATATCTTTCTCTTTTGTTTGATCATCATGACCTCTTGAAACACGCTCTTTAAGACTATCCTCCTATTTATTACTTTTTCTTTCTTTACCCCGATACCGTTCACTGTCGCAAGTGTTTTTTCAAACCTTTGAACTTATTTCATTATTAATGAATGAAACAGAGAAAATTGAAATATTTAATTGATTCTTAGTCATTTTATTTTTTTACTTTTATTTATCTTTCTTCAGTTAAAAGAATCAATGATTACATCGTAAAAATCTTACTGTATTATACTCGTCCGTTTATATATAATTGAATAAAAAAAATATGTTCTAAGCAAGTAAAAAGTGCAGGAAACATATACGCAAGTGTTAACGCGTTATAACTAAAAATCATCGATAATATTAACGGAGCAATAATTTCCATCGACGTCATAAAAAAATAAGCTTCATAAATGGCAGCTTTAATAGCGAAATGCACCCAAGAGAAAGTGTGACATCAAGTTAATTTTGACCGGTGAAGCTATCGACTATCGATTAATGTGAAATGTAAGTTGCAATACTACCGCTTATTAGTCCATTGAGATTTTCATGATATAGCAACTATGATAAATTTTGCTTTTCTATCGTCTGAACAGTGAAAAATGATTTTTAAAGCGCTTGCACCCGCAGCTCTGAATAAAACTCTTAATAATATAATGTACTTGGAAATATTTTCGTTTATTTAAGAATACAAAGAAGGAACGCATTTGACGAGACTTTAAAACCGTTTATGAGATCTTCTGCTAAAAGGAAAAAATATGAAAAAATTGAAAGAAGTGTCTTCATAGCGTACTGTGTCAGCAGTGGAGTTTTATATTTTACTCGTACATTGTGTATGTGTGACGGAGTAATGAATTTTTGATTGCGTTTCGATAAAATTGACGCTATAAATCAAGCTTACGACTCAACGATAACAAGCCTTTTTGAGATATATAAATAACCGAGGCCAATGTGGTTAATTTTTTTCAACGTGTCCCGCGAGGCAAGGCAAAAGGCACACAGATGGTCAATTTAACGCAAGCAAGCTTTTTCGTTTGGTTTTCATAATTTCTATTGAAAGAGTTAAGGCGGTTGGCGTGATACTCGTGTTATTTACCCGGCACGCAAGAAATTAAACCAAGTTAAACAAAGATTTTTTTCTTGTCTCTTTAATCCGACATGTAGCGTATCCATCAAGAGTCGGATAATTGCATGCAATTTTGCATTCACACGCACTCGTATGTGAATATATAGAGCGAGTACGTACCTCGTAAACGGCTCCCAATGGCATGACAAGCAACGCCACCAGGAGATCCGCTACTGCTAGGCTTATTATCAGGTAGTTTGCCACCGACTGCAGATTGCGCTCGATGTAGATCGCCACTATCACGAACACATTGCCTGCAAATTTCAAATTAAAAATTCGCATTTAACCTGCTTGCAGAAAGCGTTCGTGAAAATTATTCAAGTGCAATTCATCGTATATGACCATACGATTCGGTATTTAATCACAAGTTGGATAAATATAAAGGCAGATTCAATTTATGCAGTTATTTTTTAATTTCCATATCCGAAATATAACGGATATAAAATTGAATAATCTTTAAATGTTGCTGATGACTGTTGTATTTCAAAAAGAAAATGACGTTTAAGCACTGGACCGCTCCATCAAACATTAATCGTGAGTATTTCGTTATTCATCAATTTAATAATTTGAATTTGGAATTTCATAAATTATAAATGGGACAGCGCTATAGTATTAATCAATTGAGTGATAACTTGTTACTTTATGTAATAATAAGAGAACAAAAATAAGAATAAATCTTTAAACAAGGATGGCAAGAATGTAGAATCGTATTGAGTAATATAAAAAAGTTTTCAGGCGAAAATCAGCTTCTCTCGACATTTAGCGTCTTATAAATTACAGAATAAACGTATAATCAGCTTAGATTTGACTTAGTTCGAATAGACGAGGAAGGCAAGAATGAAGAGAAAAGAAATGTTTATCATTCTTTTCTGTCAAAAGCCTTGCACGTGGATTTAGTAAGCGAGAATGAATAGTAGCAAAATATTCGTCGAGTATCTTAACGCCGTTAATACATCTAACAGGAATACATAGAGAAGGGAATCATCCCTTGCGTCGTAAAACTACGCTTGAAGGAGGAAAAAAGACGACACAAACAGAAAAAAAGAGAAAAAAGATGGAGAGAACGAGTCTGTCAGTGCGTATGATTAAACTGTCGTGCATTTTACGCCGTAACAGGCTTTCAATGGGATAAAACTCAACAGGAAGCGATTCACTCGCTTTCCTCTCTCTCTCTCTCTCTCTCTCTCTCTCTCTCTCTCTCTCTCTCTCTCTCTCTCTCTCTCTCTCTCTCTTTGTTTATCTCTAATCCGACAGCACAATTTCAGCCGAGAGACGCTGAAGTGTAATAACGTCGGGAGAATGAGAGAGCGCATGCATCAAGATAAGATCCTCTTCGTGCATCTCTCTCCTGAGCTCGAGACTCGACAAATTACTTTAATTCGACGGATATCTTAGTATTATGTCGAGAGCGGCAGCTCAGTTTATCGCTTAATTGCCACGTTTGAAATTTCCACTCTTTCTGTCGCTCCGTGGAAATAATCCGATTAATATCTAACGTCGGGTGGCCGCTCCAACTGTCAATTGTCATTATGAGCTTATTGTACTGACTTAATCAGCATAATCAATTAGCTAAATGGACCTTACCGAAACATGTTTTAATTTGTACGAAGTAAGCAAGAATAGTTTTATTCATAGCACGTAATGTACATCATCAAGCTGTTTACGTTCAATAGATTTTTTCTTTATGATGACGTCAGTAGAACATAGATATATCTAAAACTATTGCATTCATAACTGTCCTACATCCGCCTTCTCGCAAGATTAAAAAAAAAAGAGTGCCATTTATTAATCATTTATAGTTCAATCCGAAACCTTTAATTCGCATTCTAGTGCATTGAATGTTATTTCTAATTAAATATTCATTTCAAAAAACTATAGTGAGGCAGTTTGAATTCAAATTACAAAATACAATGCGCTCAGGTTGGTGGCAAGCAATGTAACTTTGAAAATCCGTAATTATGAAACTTTATTTAACCCAACGCGGTAATATAACCTGATAAAATTAATATAAACTCTTTCTCGGTGCAGTGAGTGGTTAGGAGCTTGCAAAATTGATTCGAGCAATCTCACGACATTATATTTAATTCTATGTGTCGTGGTGACAGACCCCGTAGAATTCCATGTTATTTTACAATGCAAACCAAAAATATCACCAGCACTTCTAATCCACCCTTTTTCTCGCATTCCGGAGTTATGAGGGCGTAGTATAGATAAGGTAAAGAGTCACGGATGCATGGTTGGACACTTGATTGGACTACTGGCAGAACGCGAAGCTCTTTACAAAGTTCTTGTTACAGCACAGCATTGATTGCACGCCACTTTTTATTGTAATCCCATTTAAGACCATGATCTTTCGAAAATTCTGATAGGTTACGTCGCGGATATCTATCTGCTACGGCATAAAAAGAAAAATAAGAAACGTTTATTTCATCACTAGTGGCGACGTGATTTCAAATGAATTCATTAAATACTCGATTAAAACTTTCAATGTAGTAATAGAAAGCCAAATACGTGTGATTTCGGTAACTAATTCAATCGAATGTTAGAGAGCGAGGGAATAACGAAGAGCATCGAAGGAACGAATTTGCGTGCTCTCTCGCGCGAAGCAACAAGTGAGCGTCAATTCAGCTGGAAGAAACGAAATACATATATATATGTATGTATGTGTTGTGTGGGTGTGTGTGTGTGTGTGTCTTGTGTGCAAGCGCGCGCGCACGTATGTGTGTATGTATGTAAATACGCGTTTGGCCCTTTTCACTTTCTCTCCTACCAAACCCCGTTCTCCTTCGAAAAAATTTCTCTTCGCAGCCACAAAATTCTCTTTCCTTCTGAACAGACGGAAGAATTTTATACGAAACCATTCGTCTTAAACCTCAAACACGTGTGTACGTGTGTGTGTATGTGTGTATGTATGTGTACGAGGCAACCGTGTGAAAATTTATACAACGGAAAAGAAAATAGCGGCGTGGAAGGTCGAAATACTCGTTGGCCATGATACGCTGAGCTTGTTGTTTGCTGCTTATATGAGCGTGTTGTGTTTTCCAGATATGATCTAGATTGAACAGAAAAAAAACAAGAATTTGCCTTAGTTAGTTGTCTTTGTTTGAAAGTAAAATATTTTTTTCTTTGCTTTTTCTTTTTTCGAGTAAAGTTGGTTTGAAATTTTCACGAAGCTTATGCGCCACCTTCGTGCTTGAGTGAAAGCTTTTTGGGGTGATATTTCGTTAGAAGTTCTCTCTCTCTCTCTCTCTCTCTCTCTTTTACTTTTTTTCTCGTCTGGTACACACTCTTCGACTGACGAGCGTGTTTATGAGAACAGACTGAAATTTTTACGAAGGTGAAATTTTGGAGGACAATTTTTTGCATGAATTTCTTATTATGTAGAGTGTTAATTAAATTAAACGACAGAAAATGTGAATAGAGCTTTTACAATGAAGTTTCAATTACGTCTCTGCAATATTCGACACGATTAAAAAAATTTGAACAAAAATCTCAGCACGAAAAAAAATTTTTTTTATTAAAAAAAAGCTCGTTTCTTCTGCATGAACGAGACACTTGGCATTGTTCATAAACTACTTCAGTTTGCCGGTAATAAAACACGAGCGCAGCATCCAGTAGTAGCGTTCAACAGATTACAATTTTGCGAGAAAAACAATGATGCACGCGCATCGTAGCGCGCGCAAGAATGAAATAAAAAGTTACTTTTGAGACATACACACCCTGCATCGGGGTTTCACGAGATCGTAAAGTCATGCTCTCGTATGGAAATTAAAAAGGGCCTTTCTGCTGGCTTAATGAAATGTGGCTGATCCTAGCGTTGGATTAGATGACCTTTATATTCGGATTCTCTTTCTGAGTTCCTGCGAAGAGCCAAGGAAAAACTTTTCATCTTCGAAGATTTTACGAGTGCGACGCAAGTACCACAAGTCGACTTTTACGAGCTGATTCTCAATGACGTGCCCGCACATTGTAACACAGTTTATATCTGATTCTATGCCACACCGGCCGGCCCTCTAATAAAATTTTCGTGTAATTTGCTCTTCTTTTTTCTTTTCGTTTTCCTACAGATCAGTTGATTGGCTCGGCAGTACCACTCACAAAAAATACGTGTTTGGTATACACGAGAACAGGCTAAACAGACGATCGGTTTCATCTGCTTTTGGCTGATCCAACTTTGACTTAGTCTACTGTGACATTGCCATGAATAACTTTGGCAAATAGCTATATACGAGGGATAGCTGACAGCACAGAAGCGACACGATAATTTACCGAAACTGCCAACATCAAATAGGAACTATTAACCGTGTTGTCTTTCTCGCTTGAAAAATTACTGTTCTTTATTTGAATACTAAACTTTTATCTTTTTTACGAACGAAAAGCCAATCTTATTCTTCATTTCTTACGACTTCCATTTTGAGCGATCATCAAAAAGTAGTGTATACGTACCGATGACAGTGGTGAGGATGAGAATACCGAGGATGAAGGCGGTGAGTATGACGGTGACGTCGTCAAGGGTCGAATTGCTAGCCGCGAGCGAGGAGGCATTCGCCTGAAGGCTCGCGTTCGCCGTCACATCCATAACCCTGCTGATCTTGTTGAGTCCGTTATCACTCGACCACCTCCGCCCGGCTTTGAACCTGGTGATGCCTCCACCGCTGCTGCTGCGGCTGCCTGATCACCACTGCTTTCTGCTCCATGATTCCCATCCTTGGCTGCTGCTACTGCGTGCAGCTTCGCCTGCAGTTCAACTAAATATATTTTCATCAATTTCGTCAATGTAATAACTCATATTACGCAATATATATTATATAGAATAGTTTAACGAATAATTTTGATAACCATAATTTTTGTATTTTCAGAATTGTAAGTTACACGATAGAAAACTTAGAAAAATCAAGGTCAACTTGGCCTAGAATGAAGCGACGGCTGGGTGATTGTATATGAGATCTCACACGACTTGATGGATCTTGATAGATCCAACAACATTAGAAGTTTCGGCAATTGTTCGTGCGGCAGAAGAAAATGCCGATGGTGAACTCTTCAAATAGTTCCTTCAATAGTCCATATATCATATATTTCACTTCGTGCAATTATTGGAATATATCCATGTCAGAAAATTTGCGTGCGCGGCACGATCGTCTGTTTTCTATTGATTATGTACGTGTTATTCAAGAGACGTATTGTTGATGTTTACCTCGATAATCTTCACAAATATTTTTATATCTCATTTTCGCAGAAATTGGTTCTAATCTTGCCCTTATTTGTGTTATCGGAACGTACTTCCTTGTTCTACAATAATTTATTCAAATATGTGCATTGCATATTTAATATAAAAAATATGAGCATTGAATTATGTATAATAATTATCATTTCAAAATACAAACAGTCTCGGTTTGAAACCGAAAAATCATAAGGTGAAAATAGAGAGAGAGAGAGAGAGAGAGAGAGAGAGAGAGAGAGAGAGAGGAAAAGAGCAAATTACCTCAAACTTAACAAAGTTTCATGATTAATTACCGCATGGGAAAATCCTCACATGACATACTTAAGTCGTTGATTCCACCGCGCGCTCTCGATCTAGAAGATACGAGGTTCTCTGCAAACTACCTTTCGTCGAGAAATCGAGGAGTCATTAACGGCCCGATTTGGCTTTCCGCTCTCATAAATCCACAGAATTTAAGCTCTGCCTCTATGGACTTGGCACTCCATCAATGTCGTTGCGTTCCTTTTCAACCGACGCAGAATCTCCGAAAATGTATAAAAGAAACAAGAAATAATAAAAAGAGCTGTAAATTAATTTCAACGTGGTAAAGTTCACTCGTCACAAAATAAATAGAGCAATGATCAATATATCGCTGAAAGCAACAGCAGTTGCGCTTTTGTATGTTACACTCGGCGCGATTATCAGTCAAGAGCTTGCTCTCATTTTTCGAAAGGCAGCTTCGATTACCCTACACGTGCGTGATGCTGCTGCTGCACCTCGTACTTGATTCTGAATATTCAGGCTAGAATGTGCGCCAAGTACCGACGTTTTATAAAAATTTCACTAAAAGAGCGAAGCAGTAGGCAGAGAGGAAAAGCGAGTTATGTTCGTTTGTTGCGCACCAACGTTCCGCGTGCGAATGAGGCACGCATTGTACTCTTAGAAAATCCAATTCTTTTTCAATTTTTGTTAATCTGTTATCACGTGTTAAATTAAGTTTTCAGTAGGCGAGTAATTTCCGTGAGAGCCATTTATCCAATCTTCGGGTATTTTTCGGGTTACCTTTTCTTTTTTTATAAATATGAATGCAGCTACAGCGCAACACATTTTTTTAAATTTTAAATTGAAATGGACTCAATTACGATACTTATCATTTTTTTATTCTATAAAACAAAATTGGAGAGAATTTCATACGAATAATGTGAGTTAAGTTTGCATGGGAAAGATACCGTAGCTACTACATTTTTTTTAATTTTTGAATTAAAAACATAATTTAATTTATTCGCAACGAAACAGTAAATAAATGTTCAACGAATTTTAATTAACATAATATGTTTTATGATTTTCAAAGAATTATTTACATATTTTCAATAAAAGAATAAAAAATCATTTATCTTGTCACCCAGAGAATGAAATTTACGAACGTTAGCAAAGACCACTTTATGGATAAAATGCCTAAGCATACAGGTAACTGGATATCTTAGGAGAATGTCCAAGAACAATAAAATAACAGATGAGTAAATTTGACTCGACAATCAGCTTTTTCGACTTGGCCTCATTTCTAGTCTAATATAGCGGTCTTTCAGCCGTTTCTCCTTGTTTTCTCTCACGCTGACCTGCAATCTTTCGATGAAAGCATATCCTCGTTGAGAAAGCTACAAAGCTGTCCAACAAAAAGAGCAACGGCAAGACTGACAAGTCAACTAAATAGTTGGCTCAACTGTAAAACCTTTGCGAATAATTGGCGCAAGCGCAAGTCTTCAATTTATAGTACTTGATTGATTAGCCTGCCGCTTGTGCGCAACTTTCTTAATTAAAAGAAAAGAGAGAGAAATTTTCAAACTTGTTACGGCCGCGCGATTTTCATTTCATTTTTGTCTCAAGTTTCTTCAATCAGTCAAGCGCGAGCGGAGTAATGAGCAAAAATTCAATTTGAGTCAAGCAGCTTAAGCTTACATTTTTCTAACCGCAAACATCAAGTTTTCACACGGATATAAACAAGGGTCGCCCGGAATTTCCGGCCCGCGAAATTTTCTGAACTAGCTCGCCAAGTATCGCTTTTCTCCCTACCTCACTTCACTATACATAAAACGCTACTTTCTTGCTACCACGTAGCCGGACATTACGGAAATTAACGAGATATGCTAATCGTATGCCTGTGGATCGTCGGCGTCAGGTAATTGCTTATACGTATTTATACTTTTTATTTGTTCTCTCTACTTGTTTACGCTAATTTCTCCTTCTTCCTCATTATTATCTTTGCACTCAAACTTTGGTAAACTGCAAAATTACTTTTCCCAACGCCATTACAATTAAGCAATGATAGTTTGTCTTATCTTGAAGTGAAGAAAAGTTACGATTGAACGAGTTTCTGACGTTTCGTAATTTATATCTATTTTCTTAAACAGATTAATTCCGTTGAAATAGAGATTTTCGAATTTATTATGTCAACTTTATATTTTCGTTTTTTAGGATCTTTCGCGATCTTACTTTCTATGATAAGTTGAACTAGGCATAGAGAAAATATTGTAATGCAAAAAGTAAGATGTTATGTTCTTTATCTTAATATTTTTAAATCTTTGCATGAACCTTATTGGAATCTTCAATGTTCAGAATCAAATTTTTGCATGGAAACTCTCTAACCTACATTTTACAAGCTTAACGTTGTGTATGATATTAAAATTTTCATTCTCTACGAGAAACTTTCAGCGGAAATAATATTGAGCAGTGACTGTTCATCTACGAACGCAAAAGTAAAAAAAAATATTTCAACGCAATGAATCCAAATTCTTCACAACCTCGCGAATCTTTATAACAAAAAAAAACAAGAAAAAAGATGATGTCGTAAAGCTTGTCGAAACAAACCTCTCACGAAGACAGAAAGAGAGAGGGACTGAGAGAGAACGTCACTGGCGCATCTTTTTCCATGGCAATTTCCGAGGTCACAGCTCGACGCGTTTGTAACCCGCTCTTAAATATTTGTCGCTCGCGTCGCGTGTATGCTTCATCGCAGCAAACAGACGCGCGATCAGGTGTGCAACGCTTCTACCCCACGATGCAAACTCGGCAATTTCAAGCTGAGTATGCAAACGCGCAGCTTTCTACCTTTTTTATTTTGCTTCACTCCGACTGTATGCATGTATTGTTCGCTCCGACAGTAACAGTGGAATTAGAAATGCAGATGCGTTTTAAACCATTTAATTTGCGAATATGAGAGGGAGTAGAGGGGCATTATCATAATTGGATCTTCTCTCTTGTATTGCATTCAACATTTTTGGGCCGAAATTTATTCGGTTATAGCTGGAAAGCTCCGTTTGTTTCTATTTACTGCTAATTTCATGCCAGAGATAACGTTTCAATTCATCTCTTTCGTCGATTTTAATAACATCCGCATATAGAGCCATCTGTCATTTGTATTTGCAAACGTATCAATTTGAACGAGTGTTTATTCGAATATTTGCGTGCGTCTAAGAGAGAAAATACGAGCGTTCGCAAGTGTTTGTTATTATAACTTTGAGCGTTCACCGAACTTCTGTTTGAAGTTGCATGCATTTGAAATTTGATCTTTTCACACATGTACGTGTTTTAATCAGACTAAAAGCTTTTTTATATTACTTTTCTATGCAGTGTACACGCGTGCTCGAAAACCTAGTCGGTAGTATGGCCATAAATGAAGCATGATTTTTTTGTTACTTCACCAGAGCCTATATAGTCAAGCTTGAAGATTCATTTGGTAGATTTAATAATATTTGATGTTTTGCCATATGTGTGCCCATTCATCCGATTTCTAATCGGTCATTCTCATTCCCATGGAAATCGAAGGATACAAATTCAGTAGAGCAGATGGAAATACAGTCAGACGTAATGGACATCACATGAACGATATTCCCAAGGAAATTCCCTAGCATATATCAGCAAAATTGTTCGTAATCTCGGCAACGTGATCGTCATCTCGCTGATAAGAGCGACATTCTCTCATATTTTTGGTCAAAATCTTTTCAAAACAAATAATCCCCAATATAAAGTACATACATACGTTCCGTCTCCCTTATCGTCGACAAATAAATCGACTGTCCTGAGATCATATAAAAGCGATAGCTTCAATTAAAAACCTCTTATATTGGTAAAAATCAAGGCAGAAAGCCTTCGCGATGAAAAGATAAATGAATGACGAAGAAGCTCTTTGGTATCGTACAATCTCAGCAGGGACGAAAAGAATACATCCGAATATATTGGTATGCGGAGCGAGAGGAGCAGCGAGTTTTCGGAATGAAAAAACTTTAGCTCTCCAAACTATTCGCCTTGATCAAACTCGACTTTCGCTAACAAGAGGAGCGAGAGAGAGGCTCTGATATGATGTATTATCGTTTCTTCTTTCTTCCGGACGAGACTGACTAATAAACGAGCGGCCAGTTTGATTTCTCGTCCCTTCTTCTTTTCCTCATTACCGCGAAACTTTTCATAACGGCAGGGCTCTTATCCGACAGTGATTTATAAGTATTGTTCAACGTCCACAGGCCAGCGAGTAAAACTTGGCCCGAACATTTTTTTCACTTATGTGAGGACTACAGCGTCGGACTCTCGCGCACACGCGGCCACAATATAAAACGGCTATTAACCATCGGGATGGCCGAGATATAACATGCTGATGCTGAGGAGCTTTATTCGCCGAAAACGCCTGGGAGCAAAGTTATATGTTCTCTAATGAAATTACACCGGGAATTATGATCCGACGTTGCCTATGCGCCGAAATTGCTGTTGGAGGAAAATGGCGTTGTGTGTTTGTGTTTGTTGGAATGAATCGCTTGAACAAAAATATATTGGAAAGACGTTGTGCGGCATCGGGTCTTTAGCGGAAACGAAAAGGCGGCAGAAGCGAAGCGAAACGCCGCATGAATCAGCGCTATCGGACTATTAAGAGAATACGCATTTCGCGTAATTCTTGTTTATGGCCAATCTACTCCAGGTGTACTACAGTCGACTTTCCTCCAAATGTGGAATTGAAAATGATTGTCTTCTGAAAAGCCTATTCATATTACTTCGAATAACTGTTGTAAATAATTGCTGCCACATATCGCTGAGATGGCTTAGAAAAAACAGCGGATTAATATGTCACCACTATGACCTTTACGTTTAGATACCATCTTGCTAGAGAGTAGCAATGCAATTTTCGTCAGTTGACTTTCACGGCAATATCGCACGACAATTTTGTACGATGTATAGGTTTTCGCGCGTAATATTGCAGATAAATTGAACGCGATATTGAAGTGACTTTCACAAATAGATACATATATATCCGCGATAATTTATCGGAACAGGATTAACGTTGTTATTATGACAAGCCAACAAACTATCTGGTGAACCGACAATCAAGCCAAGCAAATACATTGCAAATTTCTCGTCTCGTCGCCGTCGTCAATTTGCGAATACTTTGGATAACGTTGCTTAGAGAGGTCTACATTACCGCAACATCAAAGCTCCGAAATATTTGCCCTTCATCCTTGCGCGAGCGCGTTCGTGAGATAGAATTCAGTGGAAAAGCTCTCTCGCGTATTCAGTGGCTGGTAGGCAAACAGCCTGTGCAAAGTCGCCGTAGAATATTAAGAAGCTAGAGCTGCGTTTCCGCACGAAAATCGACCAATCCACCCGGCAAACATCATCGACCAAAAGAAAAAGAAGAAGAACAAGAAGAAGAAGGAGAAGAATGAAAGAAAGAACAGCAAGTAATATCGTTTTTTTTTTCTAACCTTTCATCATCTCGTAAATTATATAAAAAGGAGAAGAAGAGAGAAAAGATGAAGCTGATCCGCTAGACAAACACGAGGCGAAACACTTGTTGGCCCCTGGCTCCTTGGCATTTCGCCAGTGAGCACCCGTACTGACGTGTTTGCTATGTGTCCTCAAGTCCAAACCACCCCACCTTCTTCCTCTTAATTGTTAAAGTTTATAGTTTGCCATCAGGCAAGCACGAACTGCTCTTGAGGAAACCGCTGAGGAGAGTCAAAGCCAGTCTGTCAATTGTTTTCTGTAGCTTGTCGCGCTCGCGCTGCTTTAACGTGCTAAAGACAATTAAAGAGCTTGCAAATCGTTATTATTGCTGTGCCATTCACTTCGCTGAAATGTAATATTGTGTGACCTGTGAAAAAAAATGTTGAAAAATCTTCCAATTACAATTTTTCAATTCAAAATTGCTACTGACATTCAAATTACCTCGATCCATCCAGACAAAATATGTCACGCGCAAAAATAAAAAAAAAATCAATATTTACACAGAAATGTCGTGTAACAATACACTCAACCGAAATCTGAACGTTCGAGTTCAAAATTTGCATCTTTCCCTCTTTCTGCCTCCTGTCAGTCTCTCTTTCACTTTCTCTGTCTCTCTTTCTCTCTCAACAAAATGCTATCAACTAGCGAACAATACACACGAACTCAGTGTACAGTGTAAAGCATCCTCCGCGAAGCTTTGAAGAGGAGAACTACACTAGGAAGAACACCGTTCGTCTTTTCATCATAGCTCTCGTCGCTTGTGTAAGTTTACTCGCGCTTGGCCGCGCACTTGGAAAACTTTGACTGCGGCTCCAAATCAAAATCATCTTCATCTTTGGCTGCCCTTCTTCTTCAAGGCTCACGTAAGATCTTATTCTACTTCTCTCTTATACGAGCTCGGCGCTTTGATCGATATTGGAGCTGTGAAAAAGTGATTTATTTATTTTTATGATGTGCGTAAAGTGTGGAGTGAGAGAGAGAGAGAGAGAGAGAGAGAGAGAGAAAGAGAATTTTTAGCATACTTCATTACATTGATGAAAATTAAAATATGTTATCAAGCGGTAGATGGGTAAGAGCTCCAGCAAATTATTTTGCGAATAGCCACAAAAGAAAATCATTAACATGGTCTCTATTCAGGCGAGCGAGATATTCAATCGTCTCTATTTCATTTGATCAACAGGATGGCGGTCGAATGTGTCGTCCGCACATGCACACGCTTTTCGTTATTATAAGATCGAATTACATCAGAAAGAGCTTAACTAAACAAGTTTAATTAATTTCGTCGGTATTGACTGAAATTGGACGGTATAGAAAAGCCGTAGATAATTTATAATGTAAATTCGAATACAGCGCAGTAGCTTCGATGTGAAGGTTCGCGAAAGTACGGAGAAAAAAATTTGGCTCGCAAAACTTTATTCAAATCTCAAAATCACGTATAAGTCATTAGCCTTTGAAAATATTTCTTAGCCCGAAAATTCGTTCTGCTTCGAAAGAAATTCACTTTTCCATAATTCACCCCCGAGAATGAAGAGAGAAAAAAATTACCAATGGAATTCAAAGTTCGAGTCTGTCGCTCGAGGCGCGTGCACAGAGAATATAAAAAAGCGTTTCATCTTCGGCTTTACCTTCACAGTTAAAGGCATACAATCGCACGAAAATAATTCCATTCGTGCCGTGCCGTGCATTAGTTATAACTTTTGCCGCGAACGACGAATAAAAAATAAAGTAAAAATGTCAATAGGTCTTGAAACTCTTATTTATTTTTCAAGGCAACAAAACTTTACCATTTGTCATCCGTCTTTTAGAAAGCGAGACGGTGGCGATAGCGCACGCGTGCCTCTAAGATACAACGCGACGCGGCGGGAATAGGATGGATGATGTTAATCGCGCGAGAAGAATGATACGAGGGGAATATTGAAAGAGACAAGAAGAGGTGGATGGTCTGATAAGACTTCACACTGAACTAACACCAAGCTAACATCGCCTTATAGCTATTAAATTCTTATTCGACAGTGTTGGCAAAGACGTAATGATGTAACAGCATTTAAATCGATAATAACATTACTTTTCTCCGTAGTAGTACGCCAATACTATCACTTTATATTATATATTTGTACTTCATAAGAACGGACATTGAACATCCTTGAATAGAAACTCACGAGCCTCATCACTCTTGTTGGCAATACTTTCCGACTAGTGATTTCGTAGCCACCAGCACCGCGTGCAATTTGAAAAATAGGATCCACAAGACAAAGAGCCATGCGCGCCAGCGCGACACTCAGAGAAAGCGGAATTGAATGTGTCTCTTGCGATTCGACGAAAAAACGAGAAGAGCGAAGAAGTGAAGGAGGAACATACCTAGTAGCACATCAGCCGAGATTGAATGTTTTTTCGTGTAGCTGCTACGGCAGCAGCAGGCTTCTACGGCTGCACAGTTGTCACGGAATAGAAAGCCGCGAGACGATGAGAAATCTCCGTTTGCGCAACAATCGTATGGAATTTATCACGGCACATCCATGCCGTTTGTTACTCTAGCTCTCTTTTCTATCTGATGAACTTTTTCTTCGTGTGATCACAATCAGCACGATTGAACTGTTTTCGTCGAAATGCAAAGTCGCTCTTTCCTTCCTTGCATAATGACGATTGGACTTATATTAAATAATTTACAGATTTTATAGATAAACCTTTTTTTTTAATTCTAGCACTGGCTAACATCCCTGTAGTTCCAGTTTAATCAGTTTGAGTGAGCTCGTACACGAATCGAACGCCCGATGTATCTGATAATAGACTGTAATTTTCGGCGATATTATGAAAATTGAAGTACGGAACCAGCATGAACGCGCGCGTTAAGTTCCTTCTTATTCCATAAAGTCGCAACTTCATCGAGCAACTTGGGAATCGTCAAATCCGCGAGATCGCGCCTCTAATGAGCCCTCATCAATAACTTCGTACTCTTCTCATTGCTGCGTTTGCAGTAGAGAAGAAGGAACAAACTTTGGCAATACCCTTTGGAACTGGAATTTCAATTATTTCCCTGTTATCCACTTGTTTTAATTTCTGTTGTTTTATTTATGATGATTTTAATTGTAAGATTGCTTTGCTCAACATTTGAAAATGATTTAATAGAAACAGGGTGCTTTGAAACAAAAGCATTAACAAAGCTACAGCAATGGTCAGATGTTTCAGTAATTCCATCTTTTTTTTTTTTTTTTTTTATTTATCTCGGAGCTTCCCCATACCGATGGCTAATGACGAAATGTTGCAAAGTGTCCGAGTCATTTACATACCAAGTGGTACTGATTGCGGCGACCGCAAAATCATCAATACAGTCGCGTGCAGTGCTTTTCAAAACCTCCAATCGATTCCCGATAAACGAGGTACGTCGTTCTTCAGACTTTTGTTATCTCACAAAACAATGAGTCTTTAATCTTTCTAATTGAAAAGAAATAAAAGCTAAAGAATAATGCAAGAAAAGAAATTAAAAAAAATACAAAATTATTCAAAAAAATTAAGAAAACATATAATCGAAAAATGATTATTTTGTAATAATAATTTGTGCTCGAACCGGTTTTTCGAATCGGCAATGAACCGTCAAATAAAAGCATCTTATAAAGTCTTTAGCGATACAATGAGGTGACAAACTCTCTATCATGTTAAGCTTTGCTAATACAATCTTTAACTATTATCAATAGTAATGACTAAAGTTACCGATTATTTTTTAGTCGACTTACTCTATTTGAAGTTTAATCTATTGTGCAGAAAACGGAAAGAGAGGTTGCTTTGGAAAGTCAGAAAGAAGCATGGAAATAAGGGAAATGACTTTGAAGATTTTACATACGATTATTTTGCGTTTGAATTTCAAATTCGTATTTTCAGAGCTCTTTGCGCACAACGATAATATTATTTCGACAAATTTTCTGAGAGAAATAGTTGAAAGCACTACTAACCAAAATTCTACTGTCAATAGTTTTATGAAGATTAATTATACATCCACAAGTGCTTCATAAACAGGTTAATTATTTACATAATTTTCACTCGACCAAAACAAACTTTTCAATAGAACGCGATCAGGTTAATAATATAAGAAATATCCTCGAAAAAAGTCCTTCCACCATCCAAATGTTTTTCATGTTGCCACCGTTCAAATGGTAAATGATCATATATCATATGCCTCATACATCATATATTTCCTGGGTCTTTCGTAGAGGTTCTCCAGTGAGATGTATTTGGTACATATAACAAACGGAGCAAAATTCAAGTACTTTCAATTCCATTTTCAAACCAAGTCTATCGACTCACGTCAGAAATGAATGTCAAAAGAAAAACTTCATAAAAGTGAAAAAAAAGGAGGAAAACAAAATTTTTAAATGAAGTTTTTGCACGTGCCGAGATTTTTTTACCGCCGGTTTACAATTAACGCGCGAAACGACTATAAACGCCAAAAAAAATTAGTGCCCTCATTTCCATACCATCAGCATTTGCAATCAGCAGTACGACTCCACACTCGCGCGAGAAAAAAAAATTGCTCGGGTAATAAACGTTTTTTGTTTGCCGTGCCACTAAAAAGATATGAAACAGAAATTGGCGATCTCGTTAAAAAAGAAATAATTGTCACCGGCAAACTCACCTTTTACTCGAGCTTGCTGACAATAACAGGCTACAATCTTGGTCGTGCAACACTCATTATTACACGTGCGAAGAGGAGAAACGCACGTTAAGGAACGATAGCACTTTTGAATGAAAACAACAACCGTGGAGCGCAAAAGTCGCGCGCACCTTGGCCGCCCGCGCGAAGAGTAACGATGACGACGAACGAGGGAGTAAGTCCGTGAGACGAGTGAGAACCGGAGATCCGAAGTACCGTGGCAGTACTGCGCGAACCGCCCGGTGCGAGTTTCTCGTATACACGCGCAATCCGAAGCGCAGGCGCAAACATACAGCTGACCACCCCTCTCTCCACTCGAACGTAAAGCCGCGAGGAGAGCGATTTTTACGGGGGAGGGCTTTTGCTCCCTCGCACGCTATATACAACTGTATTCTCTCTCTCTCTCTCTCTCTCGGGCAAAAACGCTGTCTAGATATTCCACCTTTTCATCGAGGAATGCATCTTTTAAAGGCTTCTGCGCGCTTCATGGTACATTTGCTTAGGCTTCGTGTTTTTCACCCGTGATTTACTTTCGCAATCAAAGGGAAGATAAGTAGAGGCCCGCGGTTTGTTTGCACACGCGAGTTCAGTATGTCAAGAATTACGCCTTGTCTAGAATCAAAGATACTCTTGTGCTGCGAAAACTAAACTTGCGCAGAAACATTTACAGTATGCCTTGTGGGAAATGCTATTCATTTGCCGAAATCTACACCTCACTTACCGAACCTCTTTTAAAAATAATAAAATTAAATTCGTAAAATGTCATGCGAAATACTGTTACCGACGGCCAGCCAGCGAGCGAACATTTATTTTCCTTCTTTTATTTTAGACATATTTGTGTCGATGCAAATTTCGATATTTCAAGCCACGCGCATTCTAAGATCTTAGATTTTCGTTTGTTCATTAAAGACCCGAACTTACATTTACTCGCTTACTATTTGTCATTCCTATGTTACCACATCCCGATCAAAAATGTGATAGCAAAAATAATTCCAAATACCGAATTTGTACTTTGGATATATTTCTTAAATGATCGTAACGTGATAGCACGTGAAATCACAATGGAAATGTTCAAATAGATGTCAGTGATAACGATTAACGATACTCAAGCATAGTTTACGCTTCGTAACGACCTGTGATCCATTGGATTTTTTTCGATTTAACTTTTAATAGCATTACATCAGCGTCGTCATCGATATTTATTTCAAGCTCTATCCAATTATTGCCGGATTACATGAGAAAGAAAATTACA